GGTCTGATCCAACACCCATTGAACCAGTGGGAAGACTGCCATTGACTTCAGTTGGCATTGGATTGGCCCCATAGGATATGTCTAAACTGCAATTAAACAGGCACGGCTGGCTCATATCACCGACTCAGGCTCGTGTTTAATTGTGGTGTAGACATTCAGGCTCAGGCCCCTAATTAAACAGCTCCTTAGTCCAAGCCACACAAGCCTTTCAGCTTGCACAGGCCAGCCATAGGTTTTTAATTGCAGTGTAGACATATCCTATGGGGCCAATCCAATGCCAACTGAAGTCAATGGCAGTCTTCCCACTGGTTCAATGGGTGTTGGATCAGACCTCAGAGGCACAAGCCTAGTGTCTCAGCTCAAAAGTTATGTGATGACATCAGCCGATGAGCCTCAAAACGTGACCCAAGTGATATCAGTGCCTGAATCTGTAGACAGCCTTTAACTATAGTTCTCCTCTTAAATGGGAGAACTGCCCCATGCATTTTAATGGGTTATTAATTCAGTATTCTGCTGTTCGGGGGGGCTCTGCCAACACTCATCCAGAGGGACAGTATGCGTGGGTAGCCCTTGCTGCCATCACCCTATAATGTTTTTTCTGGGGTGATAGCCTGCCCAAACAAACATGTTTGTGGGACCCCACCAGCATAGTACATGCCTTTTATGTGGGTGAGCCATGGCAGTGTGGCAGGACACACTGTAACCCATGAAGCAAGCGTCAAGGGCTGAAATGACTTGGTGCAGCCCTGTTTTGGATAGCCTCTTTAGAAGTATGTGCTTCCCCTAACCCCTATTTTTACAGCCCTCAATATATTGCCTTTATCTTTAGTGCTACGTATCTGGCCAGATGTGTCTAAATCAGTAGTAAAGGAGAACTAACGTCAAAAGTTCTCCAGTGCTATAGAAAATGGAGAAAGTACACCACTGTAGATTCTCGCCACTTGTGTGTGGCATTAGAGGCTGCCCAGAGAGGCATGGCCCACAACCACAAGCTACAGCATACATGGGAAACTCTGGCCCAAACTGTGTGGTTCTTATAGCACCAGTGAAGACTGTCTACTCTTTCACTAACCTCTCAGGTCCCCTCACCGCTTTCCTGGGCAACTTAGGGGCCTTGTCCTTGAAGGATGGTGAAGCCCTAGCCTGCAGATGGTTGAACTGCCCTGAAAATGTATATTTGACAAAACGTGTTGTTGCCATGAAGGGACTGTGAGCAAGAGGATCATGCGGCACAGCTTCAGATCTGATACCCAGGGCCTCTGTTCTTTGCTTTTGCTACCCTCTGCACCACACAGAAAACGGGAGCACAATTCATAGACATCCCCCTCTACTGACAGTCTGCTAGGGCATAGCTGCCCAGGGAAGAGCTAAAACATAAATGGAAAAAAAGACTGTTTGTATCTAATACACAGGAAAAATAGTTCAAGAACAGTTTATCTTCGTAAAAGTTCAACCCCATACCACTGCCAAAATCAGCAAGACCGAGGATGACCTGTTAAGTAAGTGTTAGCTATGGAACTTAAATATGCCCCAGACATTTTAGCTTAGTACTGTACCAAGTCTTTCCAAGATTTTAAAAAACAAAAGAAACAAAGAAACGTATATAATTTGCTTAGTTGTGGGCCATTCCCAATCTTCCTTTTAAATATTCTGCCCCTTTGGAGATGTAAACCCTACTATCCATTGTTCCTTATTTGAAGTGAAGCACTACACAATGCCAGTAATATTTTTTTCAAATGTTATTAAAATTGAAAATTCCAAAACACTTGGAATGAAGCCATAAATATTTACAAAATCTAAAGTTAATTATAAATCAATAAAGCTACAAGGGTATTACAAGTATTAACACTTATACCAGAAAAGAACTAGACATCAGGCATATAAACAGTACAAGTACATTTATTACATCTTAAAAAAAAAAACACACCCTTGTTTCTAGTGAGAAAGAATTCCATGCATTGCTTTATTGCTAACCTTTCAACAGGATCCCTCAGCATGACGATAAGTTTGGCATGGGGCTGGAAAGCATGGATGAAATCCTGGATTAAAAATGGAGGTTCTCCATCAGTACTGTTGTCATAGAAGAAAACCCAGGCATTGTTATCCCACATTGTAGAAGCACTGGCCTCTCCTAGAAATGACAAGTATTTACAATGAGTATCTGTGAGTAATTGTTTTTTCTTTACATTGGCACAAAAGATGTAGATCCTGATCCTCAGATGGTGTAAATCAGTCTGGCTCCATTGACTTTCATGGCCTTATGCTGATTTACACTGCCTGAAAATCTGGCCCATGTTTCTGCAGAATCAGGAAGCTCTTAGTTAAAGACACGTTTATATAATTACACAAATTATCACTGTCATTATGCTGTACTTCTGAAAATGGTTGATGAATATGCAAATATATTTAAAAGGGTGTGACCAATTATGTAATGGACAGAATTTGTACTCTAGTGGTAGTAGAGCTATTTCCTACCGTCCAGACAGGAAGAACTTATATCCATCCCATAGAGATTTTCAATTCCACCTTATCTTTAAGGTACTTTCTGAGAGTTACTTTTAACACTTCCCTAATTGCAGGGAAGTAAGCCCTAAGTGAATGACATCATTTGTAACGGCCAGCCTGATAAAAAATGTAAAGGACCACTCCAGACAATCAGTATTGCTTAGACCAGTGGTTCTCAAACTTGAGCCGCCGCTTGTTCAGGGAAAGCCCCTGGCGGGCCGGGCCGGTTTGTTTACCTGCCGCATCAGCAGGTTCCGCCGATCGCGGCTCCCACTGGCCGCAGTTTGCCGTTCCAGGCCAAGGGGGGCTGCAGGAAGGGCGGCCAGCACGTCCCTTGGCTCGCGACACTTCCTGCAGCCCCCATTGGCCTGGAGCGGCGAACCGCGGCCAGTGGGAGCTGTGATCAGCCGAACCTGCTGATGCGGCAGGTAAACAAACCGGCCCGGCCCGCCAGGGGCTTTCCCTGAACAAGCGGCGGCCCAAGTTTGAGAACCACTGGCTTAGACCATGAACTGAGGATTTGAGAGATACAGAGGCAATGTGGGAATAAAAGCATCAGTCAGCTTGTCTGTGTCACAGTGTATTGAATCTTTCCTTCTCTTCAGTTATTATTGGAGCTTTATTATACACCATCAGAGATACTGTACAATAGCATCATGTCCCATAGTCTCAAGTACAGATATGCACTTAAAAGAAAGACAAAATCAACTGATTTCAGAATGAGTAATAAAATACAGTTAAAGACCAGATTCTGATGTCTTTAGGTTAAGAAAAACCTTACTCTGAAAGTAGTGTCATTTATTTTAATAGGACTACTCCTGGAGTAAGTTGCTACTCAGTAACTACTCAACTGAGTAAAGAATATCAGAATCTAGCCAATAGTATCACATACTGCATCTATCTTTTAAACTGTACTGTCTCCTTCTGCTGAGTAACACTAAAATTAATGAGACAAAATTTGCTTCAACAAAATGTATGCTTTAGCCTTTTTCAAACTCTCTCTTTTTGCCAATGTGGGAGGCACTAATTTCTGTTAATGAGTTTTTGAACCAAAAGGGATGAGAAAAAAAACCCCTTGTAATTGATAGTTCTGTGATTTAATCATGTACAAGTACATATATGCAAATATATTCTTATTGTAGGGAATTTTCTTTTTCTCTTTCTTTGCTTCCTCCTCTTCTTTGTATTTGAATCCTCATTTTGGAAAAATCCAATCAAGTTTTTAAATTTAAAATAAAAATTGCCAAAGCCTTCATACTAAATAAGCATTTATCAATTCCTTTAGGCTCCACTTTTACCTACTGTACTTCACTAAAAGAACCTGGAAGCCATTAGAGACCAGAATTATTTACTGATATTCTCATTGTCACTGTCTTGAAAGGAGAAATTGGCGCTCTACAGTCTAAGACTGGAAGTCCAGAAGATCTGTGGTTTCTCTTTCCAAATCAATTATAAACACCATTACATGACCTTGAGCAGAGCATTTGACATGTTAGTTCAGTACAGGTCAGTTCAGCTCAAAAGCTGGGTAAAGTGGAACCGCAAAAGACTAAATGCAGCATTGGAGCAAAATCCCCACACCAAAACAGGAGTGAGAGTCTGTATTTGTATTACCCCGTGTAATGAACAAGATCCAGTGCTGTAAATATGTGTGAAGGCATGTGTGGAATATAAATCTTGCATGGACTGAATAAGAGCAATGCATTTAGATATATGAGTACTCTGACAGTCCAGATTGGCACAGCTCCACTGAAGTCTATGGAATTACACCAATTTACACCAGAGAATCTGCCCCACAGCCTGCATCCAATTTAAGAGCCGTGTTAGGCCCCAGATGCATCGGAACCAGTGTTGTCCTGCTGTGTGGGAAGAGGGCAGGAAATGAGGAACCCAGACAGACAGTGAGCTCCATCCATCCTATTGCACAGAGGTGCTTGGGGGGCCAAGCAGCTGTCTAGGGCATGGGTGCAGGCACAGGCATGAGTCCATATATTCATGAATCTACCCACCAAGGAAGCAGTTGACAGCAGCTACATAAGCTATAGTAACTGCGACAGAAAGCCTCTGAAAATAATCTGCAGCCTTTCATCTATCTAGGCAGCCAGCTATCCCGCAGACATAAGCATGGTGTCTGAACAATTAAGATATTCCTTCTCGCCTTTGCTCCTTTGGAACTCCTCTGAACAACAACCCATATAGGACCAGATTCTGCCATCCTTACCTACAAGAATAAGAATAGTGGAGTCTAGTCCTTACTTTGGCTGTGGATTTGGATCCACATGTTTACTTTTGTATACATGCTCTCAGTTTCCTCATTCAGGATAGTGAACTTTAAGCTAAAGATGCTGGTTTTGTGCAGTTAATTTAGTATAGCTTGTGTTTGGAACCAAAACAGGATGACTGTGAGGAACTAAAAGGAAAAAGAAATTAATTCCTACCCATTTGACAGTGTCTCTTTACACATAATATAGATTTAATATCTGTAAAGAGGGTACCCTATTCAACACATGTTGAATTAATCACTGTTATATCCACTGCATTTATATATCAAATTATCATAGCACAATCAAATATGTACTAATTTTTCATATGGACTTAAAGCACATACTTCATGATTAAACTGCCTACTTTCATTAAAAGAATAAATTTACAATGTCCTTACCCTGAGATTAATGGAATAAAATCATGTCACGTTTTCATAAAACATTCTTGTGAATTTATCAGATTAATGATCGTAAATAAAGAAGTCCTGCTTAGAATGCCTGAAGCTAGAACAGCAGTGTACTCTACAGGTCTTCTAAAGATCTACTGTTTTATTTGCGAAAATATATTACCTAATAAAGATATGACTCAAAGATTGTTAGAATTTGAAAATACTGTTACATGACAAAGTTAAAGGAATGTTTATAGTTTTAATTAAATTTCCCTTTTTAATAATCTGAAGTTTAACAATGCAGCATTCTAAGGAAACCTGATTTTCATACATAATGTAGACTGTCTCTAGACTAGATTGTTTTTTACTGAGGTCATAAAAAACTGATTTAATGAGCATAATAATTCAGAAATTTTCCTGCAAACTTAATAAGGGCCAAAGTAACCTTGGTGATAAGGGAACTGAGACTACAGAAAAAACATGAACTCTAGAAAAAGCTATAACAAGAGGTAAAAGTACTTAAAAATGTACTCTGCTAATTTAAATAAGTGAACTGGGTTTATCTAAGCATTTCACCTGTGAAAGTATTGTAATACTGTAATATACTGTAGTACTGTAATATAAATAGCAGGAATATCTGCAGATGTCTCTGATGGCAGAACTTCACAGGACCCAGTACTGCAATCTTGCCAGGCACAGAACATCCATTTAGGTAAAGGAAAGCAACCTGCCTCCAGAGGAAAACAAATAATGCACGTATCTGTAGACAGGGGCCTTACCGGACATCAAATGGCCCTCTGCTATGATTAACTTACCGCAGACATAAAACACTTTGATTAAGCTTATTTTACCATCGCTATAAATGTTACAACTAATTTAGGACCATATTTTCATAAGTAGTATTTGCAGTACCAACGATGATGTGGTTCATCTTGCTGCGCCCTTTTGTTACATCACTCTGTAACACACCCTGAATCTGATATGCAGCCAAGTCAAACAGATCAAGGTAATCTTCCACTGGGTAGCGATCATGAAATCCATCCCTCAGACGAATTATTCCTAAAAACAAAACCCTAATGAGTAAAAAAGAAGCTAGAAAATTAAACTCAAGAGCCAGATCCACAGTTGGAGTTAATCAGCAAAACTCCATTGACATCAATAAATCTACAGCATTTTACACCAGCAGAGAATTAAGTCAAGGAGCACAACGTTAAGATAAAATGGCAATTATGAAGTAGTTGTGATTCAAGATACTAGAATACTAAAATATAAATTCATGTCGAGAGGAAATATTTTAAAGTGCCATATTTTATAGAACCTGAATGAATAGCTTGAACTTTCCTCTAAGTTTAGCTTTTGAAATGAACATAGAGGGCCAGATTCTGCTCATTTACACCAGTGTAAACTGGATTTACACTGGTCCTGAATCTGTGAATTACACCCACACTTAACAAATCAGAAAATCAGCAGATTAAGAACACTGTCTTCCAAATTTGAAGAAAACAGCACCTTTCTGCAATTCTTGGCTTTGACAACAATTGTGCCTGAGGGTGAATGGATTTCACAGACACTTTCAAACAAGATGGGAAGGGGGAATTAAAAAATTTGGAGGAGATGTTTTGTTTATTAATGCTTCTCACCTACCAATCTAATTAACAGTAATAGTAAATTGAACTGGTAACAAAATGATATCAAGGTATAATTCCTATTTTATTCTTTTGGGGTGGATCCAATTTCTGTGAAAGCCAATAGCAAAACACTGTAATCCCTATGCTACATTTTCCTCTACATGCACCTTGCAGTATCACCGGCCCTCATTCTTCATCTCCAGCATCACCAGCCGCTCTTAGGTATCCTCTGCTCCTTTTTCTTTTTTGTGCCTGCTCTCTCCACTTGCTCCTGATCCTCTTCCCATTTCCCTATTCCATCTTGTGTGTTCCCCCCATTCTCTGCATTCCTGTTCTTACTCTAGAGATTAGTAAGGCCCAGCTCTGAGAAGCTGCCCTTGCCTTACTTTGATTTATACATCCTGGCTCTTCAATTGCAAATTACGCCAATTTAGATCTATGGGAGTCTGAGTGCAAGGGAGTCTGTTAATGTAAGGAAATCTAACGTTACACTTCACCTCTGAATTTGGCCCTGTCTCTCCCATATGCACCGTCCTGGCAGACACAATCAGCCAAGATGCTTTGGCTGACAAGCCCTACATTTAAACATCTGGAGATTAGAAGCAGGGTATTCTCTGTGGAAGGTTCTAGGAACTGAAATTCACTCCCTCCATTGATCTGACAGAACTTGAGCCTATTAACCATCAGGTCATGATATAAGGCTTATCATTTATTTCCAGGCTTTTACCTGAGGGGCTGACTGTGAAGGATGAATTTGATTTTAATAGATTTTTAAGACTAGGAAAGAATGCATTATGATCATCTACTCTGACTTTCTGCTTTGTACAGCCCATAGAATTTCACCCAGTGATTCCTGAAGTAGAAGGAATTGTTTCTTTCCTATTATGTCTAATTTGGTGGGGAAATCTATTTGAGGGTGACATTGTACTTGTGCTATACTGTGTGATTCCTAAATTATGACTGTGCACTCAAAATATCTGATGAGCACATTTTAGAAATCTAAATATAATAATAAATTAAATACATTATTTATGGTAACAGACAAGAAAAACTAATGTGGAAAAGGAGATATCTACCTATCCTTTTCTTCATTTGTTTTGTGTGTGTGTGTGTGTGTGTGTGTGTGTGTGTGTGTGTGTGTGTGTGTGTGTGTAGA